CACGTCCTGGATACAAGCGATCGCGCACGAGCAGGATCACGTATCTATGTCACATGATGCTCGTGCGCGAACCTCTGTGCGCGAACATCTAGATATCCCCCTTTTCCTCTGTACAGAGGAAAAACAAGAAGCAATTAACACTAGTTACCTAACACCCCTGTGCGATGTTTACACCGTGCAAACCTCTCTGTCTTGTACGCATTTTGCTGACACCAAGTGCTAGCTAGCAGAGAGTCTATTCAACACTTACTTTATTTATTAAGATATTTTAAACTTTTACTAGCTTTACTTATAGTTTATGTATCTAATAGGCTTAGTTAGTTATTTTATAGGGGTTAATAAAAAGTAAAGAGCTTTATAAATTTATAGTTTTTTAGTAAAAGTTAGTAATTTTTTACTTAAGTTTCTTAAGCTTACTAACTTTATTACTAATTTACTAGAGTTTTTTAATATTGTCCTAGATTAAGTTAATCTGTTCTGCTAGAACAGCTTTACTTTAGGTTAGAACTTTTATAAATTTTAATAGCGCAGTATAGGCTATGTTAAAATCTAAGTTATGTTATAAGGTTGCTATACTTTTTAGAAAAAAAGGTAGTGTTTAATGTTATAATTCTTACTTTAAGAAGCACTTAGGTCTTATAATATTTCTAGAGGGGAAGTAGGACAAATAGTAGAGGCTAATCTAGTAGGGTGTACAGTCCTACATACAGGCTATTAGGCTAATAGAGGGAGGAAGAGTAACTAGATTATAGTTTGCCCTATGTGCAGCAGTAAGGCAGCTAAGGTTAAACAGTCCTTTTAGACAGAGTTAGAGGTATATATAGTGCAAGATATATAAATAGTATTATAGCTCTTTAGAAAGCTAAATACTACTTAGTTTATATAAAAAAATAAACTAAATATTAAACACACCTTTTAAAGGTTGTTTAATGTAGGAACTATATACATATGCTAGGGCGCTAAGGGGAGCTAATAGGAGTTTATGGGAGCTTGCTAAGGAGACTCCTGCGGGCTCCCTAGAGCTCCCTTAAGCTCCCTGAATTCGCGGCCTGTCTCTTTATTAGACAACGCATTCTTCCATGACTTCGGGCAGGTGCGCTGCCTCTGTGTCCTCCGACTGGTCTCTAAGCGAGCCCTGCCCCAATCCAGCTAGATTGTGGAGCACTGCCGGTGGAGTTACGCTGGTCCAACCGTAGACCGTAACAAAGGCCCCTGTATTAGCCCTAACCCCTGCTGTTACCTCTATTCCCTTATGTATTTAGTTGCACCTTGCCCTTGTAGCTAGCTTAGTAGTTTTCTAATATCCTTTGTACAAGGCCTGTAGGTGTTAATAGAAATTCCTAGGTTCTAAGTCCCCACGCACTTCTATATGCCTCTAAGTGGATTCCCACTGCATTTAGACCTATTGTCTTGCCTGTGCTGTTACATAACTTTTATTTTATTTTATTTTTACTTTTTTAGCTTTCTTTTTTAGCTTAAAGACTTTTATTATTTCTTTCTAAGCTTCTTTAAGTCTTTATTAGCTAAAAGTAAAGTAGAACACTTTTATATTTTTTTTAACTTTAGCTCTTTTCTTTTTTATAAGTAGTAGTAAGATATGTTACTTTACTTTTTTTACTTAAGCTAGCGTCTTTTACTTACTCTATAAAATATACATTAAATTATGCTTAGTTTTATTAAATAGTGTACTACTAAAGTTTACTATTATTTTATCTAGGCTTATTTTATTAACTTTAGTCTATAATAGCTTAAAGTAGGCTAGAAGTTTAGTTAGAAACTAATTAAGTTATTATTTATAGTTTTTTATAGTGTTATAAGCTACTTTTTATTTTATTTTACTAAAGTACTTAATATATTAAGCATCTTATTTTTAAAATCTTACTATGTTTGTAACTATAATAAGTTAAAAAGCTTTAAATAAGTATAGTATATTTTTATAGTAATTATAGTGTTTTATTAATATATTATAAGCTAAAAAAAATCTTCTATAATTTTTAAGTAAAGCTTAATAAGCTTTTTTAAAAATAGTTTTTATTATTTTTACATTACTAGTTATAGTCTACTCTATATTTCTTTTTATATTAGTGTAGTAGTTTAAAACGCAGTAAGTTTACTTAGTCTTAAGTAAGTTTTAGTATAATAATATTTAATACTTTAGCTAGTAACTTATTAAGTGTTTTTATATTACTTACTTTAAATTAATAATAATGTTTTTATTATTTTAGCTAGTTTTTATGCTTTTTACTGCTTTTATAGCTAGGCATAGGCTTCTACTAAAGCCTAATTTATAGGGGTAGACAGTGTATTGCTTAGTTTTATACTAGCTCTTTTAACTTTTTCTAGGCCTTAATTACCTTCTAGATAGCTTAATAAGCCTAATTTATAAAAAAAAAAAATTATTTTTTACTTATTTTTTACTTTATTTCTTTTTATATTAGTGTTAACTTTAGTTAAGTATTACTAAAAGTAGTAATTTTAGTTAGCTTTTTAAGTAGTTTTTAAGCACTAGTTACATTTAATTTATTTTTTAGCATTTTACATTAACACTATTTTATAGAAATGTTGCCCTTAAGCAGTATGCTAGCTTATAGAGCAATTTAAATGTAAAGATAGAATAGTAGGTAGCATAGATAGCACTAAAAGCAAGTTTTTAAAGAAAGATAGGAGTGTATTATAAGAGAGACAAATTGCTGCTAAGCCTTACTTGTTAGGATTTATGCTTATATACAAAGCACAGGTCATGTGACCTCCAAACAAGTCAGATGAGGCCATACTGGCCTGTTCTGGGACATCCGGCCTTACACCACCACTAATTGGTTTGCCGGGAGTGTTTTGAGGCAAGGTGACATGGCCATTCTCCAAGTATTTCATCGCCACATATGCACTGAGCCACGCTGATAGGCGTGGAAAGTCATGAGTTTGATTTGATGTTCTTTGTGTTGGCGCACAAAGCAGATTAGAATTGTTTACTCTTGTCCTGCTTGTATCTTCTGGGGGTGGTAGCTGGTATGTCATTATATCATCATAAAATCCTGGTGTTTTCCAGGAAACATATCCACAAGAATAGCTATTGCTGCTAACAAAACTTCCACTTTTAATTACAGAAAGCTGCTTGTTCTAAGTGTGAGCAAGAGCTGTGCTAAAGAGAACAGTGGCGAGTAAGGGTAGCAGATGCATGGTCACTCTGATTTAAGTGTGAGCAAGAATTTAAGTTAAGTTAACAGAAGTCTCATGGACTTAGCACGATGAGTATATATTTGAATGCATAGGCCCAGAATTAGGACCTTTGAGGGGCCTGCTATTAGTTCACCGCATAGGGTCCTAGTTTTGGACCCTTACAGAACAATAAATTTAAAAAGCTAGGAAGCTCTCTTACTTAGAATTTAATAAGTAAATCCTTTTCTAAAGTTTAAAACAGCTATAACCTAATAAAATTGTTCTATAATGCTGTTTTGTATTTTTGCAACTATCTCTCTTTCTTTTGCAACTCTTGCCAGATGCGCCCTATTTCCAGAAATAGGGATTGCAGGTGGCGGGCCTCTAAACAGTCCTGTACTAGTTAAAATTTCTGTTAGTAGGGCAAAAGATGTTTAACTAACTTAATTTCTTAAGAATCTAGAAGTCTTATTCTTCTCTGCTGCTTCTAGAAACCTCTTAAACTAGGACACTATAGGATATTCCAACAGTTCTATAGATGCTGTAAATAGGATTACTGCTGTAAGTTAACTTTCCTACAAACTGTAGATCATAGCTAAGCCTTAGCAGCAAAAAGAAGTCCACTTAGAAACACTAACAGCCATTCTTAATACCTACAACATGCCCTTAATTCTGCTATGCAATTACTTGTTTCTAGTCTCTTTAGCAAAGAAGTTCTTTAAAGTAGCTAACCTTATTAGCTTAGTTAGTATCTCTGCAACTATTAGATTGTCTTAACGTCTTACGCTTTTAGATCCTTTAGTTGCAAGATTAATTTCTTTAATCCTTTTAGTTAAATCCTACTATAATGCCTTTTTCTACAATGTTTAGGAGAGAGAGCTAAATCCATCTCCTTTTAATACTAGTATTAGTGCTATCTAGGCATACAACATTGCTTTGTCCTTTATCATTCTAGGGTCGTGTCCTGTCTAGATCCTAATCCCAGTTCTTCCAGAACTTACAGTGGCTTAGGCAACAATAGACCTAGCAACAGTCGCTCTACTTGCAAATAGTACAAATAGCGCCAGTAGTACAAGCGGAGAAATATTAAAAGAATTTACTTAGGATCTAAGTTAAGTACCTTTTGTTATTTAAAGCAATAAACAGCTTCTAGCTAGCTAGATAAATCAAGCAAATAAGCCCATTTATACCCTTTAACAAATATATCAAGAGGAAAGGGGACAGCTAAGATGCCACAGGGACTGAGTGGCATTACATTCGTCGCTATAACTACGGAGCAGTATACGGACGTTGACGATCTTGCTCTGGGTACCATAGCCGGTCCAGCTGTAGTAGTAGTGTCCTGAGGAGGCAACGTAAGTAATAATTGCAATGTCAAACCAGGAAGTTCAGGGCGTTGGAATTATCAGTATTAAATCAAAATTGTGAAATCGACTCCAGAGTCATGAACATTATCTGTGAGGAGGATTTCTGGTAATTAAAAAATCCGACTCTTTGCCTTTCTCCCGCTGCGAGCATAAATTATTGATTGAAGTGCTGCTTCTGGCCTTCTGTGGTGTAACTTAGTAGAGACCTCAACTTGCTCAAGCAGTTACCCGCAATCTCATACATTCAGCAAGCGATTCAGCACGATGACGAGATGAGGGTCTGAGCAAGAAGTGAATGGATGGGCAATGCTTTTCATTCAAAGATATAGCTATTGACCGACAGTACGTTACAGAATCTCCATCAGTCCGTTCTCAACAAGCTTGAGACTTCAATGCGCGGCACCTTGGGCGTGCGGTGATCAAAGTCTGAATAAGTTAACTCATGATTGTGACGGTGAATCGAGTAACTTAGTAGCGCTTACCGTCAAGAAATTTATTGTATTCTTCTGAGTGCGGCAAGACCTCCAATTGGAAGATACGAAGGACATCTCGTACCACGGAGGGCCATGGCTGCACTTCTCTGGCAGCATCTATTCGGCTTGCCAAGTAGTCAAATACCTCATTAGACATGCCATCCGACTTCCAGTCCGTAATTGGCAACGCTGCGGCCCAGGAAATGATGCTATCTGGGCGTAGACTTCGGATCCGGGCACACCGCAGACTTGTTTGCTTCATCCTAGTTCGATTACGTGCATTATCTAGAGCCGAAGCTGTCGGGCCGCTAAAGATCAAAGCCAGATTTTTCCTTAGTGTACTCATCTTCCGTATTGTCTTTTCCGCGATTATTGTTGCCCTTGTTGATTCTACTCTTGAGAGATGCTGTTTTCCATTGATCTGATGTCTGATCTTAGTTGCGGCTTTGTTGAACTTTTTGTGATCAATAGATAGGCCAATGCACAAGTCATCATCAGCCTGGCCCATATGCACTGCAAGATGTTCCGTTTCGCTTGCAAGGTTGTGGAATCGTGATGATGCTGCTGAAGACGACATTATTATTTTTCGTCCGAGAGAAACAATTAGAGAATATGTAACTTAGGTTGATGCTCTAGAAAAAGAATTAGGTTCCTTGGACGTAGCTCCAATTTATCCATTTTATCCAGCTTAGCTGGTAGTGCTTGACTTGACCAGAGGAAGGGGACCGAAAACGGGACCCAGCCATGGATTTTCTAATTGGCTTCTACACTGCAAGGGGTTAACCTATGCTGCACCGCCACGACGAGTAAAGACCCCTGGCTAAGTTCCAACCAATCAATCTCAGGGGGCCCAAAAATGGTCCCCCTTCAACGCTATGCCAGGTGAAGGACAACCAGGGGGATCAGGAAGATGTTTCAGATCAAACTTGATCGCCTAACTTACCGCCTTAGGATTGTTGCTACAGTACTGTATGGTGTGACTGTGGGTCTCTGCCACTCTCCCCTACCTAGTCACATAGCGTCATAGCCGCATACTACTCACAAAGGCCGGACATTGAGACCGTAGAGCTAGACGTGTTCGTCCCAGGGTAGGTACGAGTGAGGAACTGTGTGAAAGATTCGCTCTTCTTTCCGGCCAGTACGCAATAACTTACCACCATATTCTTTTTGTACAGCTTGCGCTTGGCAGCCAGATTGGACTTCCCTCTCTTCCACAATATAAATCTCGGATTGGATGTTTTTCTGTAGAGAATGGCTCTTCTCTCCAGTTCGCAAGAATAGAACCAGTATAGCTCCAGTTACACATTTCTATTCTGATCGTCCAAGCTAACATGCTACGAGAGTACTAGCTACATTGAAAACGTTAATTCTTCCTGGCCTCCCAGTCCGCAACGAGGTCCTCATCTGCCTTCGACCCTTGAGGATCATTGGCAGGGTCGACTACGGCCTTCGCATGAATAGCATGGCTGTCCTTATTGGCAGCGTCACGAACAGCCTTGTTATCTGCGTTCTTGTTAGCCTGAATGATGATCTCGAATTTTCCGTCCCCAATATCAGCTCCCCTATCTGCACGGTAGTTGTACGTCGCATCGTGTTTTGGAGTTCTGCTCGGAAAGGAGGCGGTGCCCATGAGGGGTACCTGGACCCTTCTTCAGCACTTTCATCCAGTCGATTGATTTGCGGAAGGCGTTGAATGCGCTCTTGGACATGGTGTCTTCGGTAGATATTGAGGCCGATGATAAAAATTGATAGCGATGATATGGAATTCGACACACGAGGTCGGAACAGAGTTAAAAATGTGATAGAAGATGCTTGCAGTCTGAAGATCTGATCTCTAAAATGAGGGAAATCTAGGAAGATTTATAGATGATCATGGTAGGCGTCATTCTACCCTCTGTGTGGGATGGAATCGATCCATGGTATGTATTCGAATTCTAGCGCTTAGCAGAATGAGACGCTCAGAAAACGAGAGGATGAGAGTATTTCGTAAAAGAAGCGAGGCCACCAAGCGAACGCCAGGAACGTTTCAAAGGCCAACGTGAAAGCCACCAACGTCCGCGCCGCGAGTTTGAACCAACTAGTGAGTGCCTCCGTACGAAATAATTGTTAGAGGCGTACGGAGGTGGGCGCCAAAAATTTCCGCTTTGCAGATTACTATAACTCAGGCACGCCGATAGGGTACAAATCACACTAATTCAAGACAGGCTCTCTATTACGTTAGCGGGACGCAGGGCTACGCGCTTAGCTAGCAGAAGCTTTTAGCGCCGACACGGGGCACGGGCCAGCTTTTTATGTTTCGCGTCCAACACAGTTGCGGCACGAGCGCTTCATGACCACAAGCTCTTTCTATCTCAAGTCTTTCAACCGTTTCTATGTCCGTTCTTGGCCTTCTTCTCCTACGACCTTCCTCCCTCCCTCGTTGTTTACGCCTACCCATCACACCGATCACTGGGCGCTCTTTCTCTGCCTTCTGCAATCGTCCAGCGCACGAGTGTGGGACCATGGCACTCGCGCAGCAGGATGAACTACATGACTACTTTCACTACACTTCCGGAAGATGGCTTTGGGGAGAGCAGGAACAATTGCGCGAACGCTATCGCGCATTCAATATTGCCGAACTTCAGAAGGTTGCCGTGGATATCGCAGGGTCCCAGAAGTGCGTCTCTATGAACAAGATAGGCGAAGGAAATTTCAACAAAGTCTTCCGGCTCCAGATGGACGATGGATCGGTCCTGATGGCTCGCATCCCTCATCCTAACTCAGGCCCTCCAAAGTACACGACCGCTTCAGAAGTTGCTACAATGGACTTTGTCAGTCAACCGCTCCCGTCCAGTCCCGGGTGTATACTTATGCATGCAGGCACATTCGATTCTTGACATACCTGTACCTAAGGTTCTGGCTTACTGTGCTACCGCCGATAATCCAGTTGAATCGGAATATATCATCATGGAGGAAGCCCGAGGCACTCAACTATCGGAGGTTTGGGATACAATGGATCTGAAAGATCAATTGGCAATTGTAACCGAGCTTGTCACCATTGACCAGAAGTTTCTCTCCACACCATTAAACAGGTATGAAGCCGCACTGACCCACCAGTTCTCTATAACGACGCTTCTAATGAAACTGCGTAGACATGGTGCGCTCTACTATAAGAAGGACAGCTTTCCTGGGTGTGAGACCGCACAAGTCACCGCTAGCGTTATGGAAAGCTTAAGGACAGACGTAGCAAAAAGGTTCGTCATTGGTCCCACAGTCGAGAGGGAGTTCTGGGAGAATCAGAGGGCAAACATGGCTATTGATCGCGGACCATGTATGTCAGCTTCCGTTATGATGATCTAACAAGGGAATTAACATTCACCGAAGGGACTAGTGCGCGCGAATACGTGGAAGCGATCGGACACCGCGAGATCGCTTGGCTACGTCGCTATGCTGAAGCTTTACCGCCAACCATGGAGCGATGGGGCGCCTCCAAGGGCCAGAGCTGCCCGCAAGCCCATATTGACCTGCTTGAAAAGTATCTCAGTGTTATTGCTCAATTACTTCCAGAACAACCTGAACTACTCACACCAATGCTATGGCATCGCGACCTTCACACTAGTAACCTGTTCATTCATGAGGGGAAAATTTCCAGCGTTATTGACTGGCAGTCTTGCTGGGTGGGGCCTCTCATTCTCCGAGCAAGAGCACCACGGCTTCTCGACTACAACGGCGAAATCATGCTGAAACTACCACCGGCCTATGAAGAGATGCCGGAAGATGAGCGACGTCTAGTGGAGTGTCAAGTGCAGCAGTCCATCCAGGTTTATAGTTACGAACATAAAACTGCCGGCCGAAACCCCCTCTTGGATAGGGTGCTAAGATATCCCCAAGGGAAAATCTTAAGCAATGTTGTGGATTTTGCCTCCACTTCTTGGAACGGAGACATCCTGCCTCTTCGTGACTCCTTGATTCGAATTGAGAGGTATGAAACCCGGCCTGCACTTTGCTAGTAGTATATGGACACTGAAGACTGCTCTAGAGATTGGAAAGACCACGCTGACTCGAAAACCTCTTGCCCATATCATTTCTCCGTTGAAGAGGTTCTTGAAAGCCACCAAGATGCGGGTAGCTATAACGATATGAGGGACTTTTGGGATGACTTGAAAGGCAGAGTAGACGATACCGGCTATACCACCCACGAGTTCTTTGACGAGGCTGTGGCTCTCTTTTCCAGTCTACGAGAAAATGGTCTAAAGACGTTAGAAGGCCAAGAGCTCAAAGATTTTGAGGAGCAGACGCGGTGGGTGCTTGATCATGTGAAGAATAATGGCAGCCGGCCAGCCATCTGACATTGTCATCGAAGACAATCTTCGTGACCAACATAAGATGTGGCACCCCACATGTGAATCCACAGTTGGTGTTACCGCATGTGTACCTATAGACTGCGTTTGTTGTGAGGAATTTGCGCTCTATTCGGGATTCGAAGAAGAGAAGGTCATGCATAACCTGGCAAAAGTTATTTCCTGGGAGCCCTCAAGCATCTTATCGTCATCAACAGATGAGGCTTTGATGGTGATGCTGCTTTTGCTGTCCGCCATTGTGGTGTTTGGAGAAGATGATGCTACTTGCGCAAGAAGAGGAAGGTGTCTAGGAGAAGAACCAACACGTCTGATAGCAGAACTATATAGCCTTGACTGAAGAGGTCCATCTTCAGGACGAAGGGGGCCGAAATCAATGATTGGGAGAGTCGAATGGATTCGAAAAACTTTCTAGTCCCCAACCATGATGACTCCTCGACGATAAGGCATTCCGCCTTGCTTCACCAGTTACCAGGCGCTGCGGATCAGGCTGGTCGACCGTCGTCGCTCGGCACGCTGCTCTGCGCGTTTTGATACTTGCGATTGGCCATAGATCAGCTCATGGGACACGGCCGCTGAGACCTCGTTTCCGTCGTACCACCGGCGCATGCCCTTACGGGCTCTATCGAGTGCCAGGCCTCGCCTCCATTTCTGTTCACGCCGCAGCCAGGCGGCAAGAAGGGTCGGCATTCATAGGACTTCGCCGCAGCCCTTGTTCGATTGAGTCTTCGCGCGAAGGGAGCGGTGAAATTGCAAAGCGCGAGTTCGGAAAGACGGTCAGCTGCCGATTGGACCGATTCTCACCAATGTGTCAATAGTGCAAACGCAAAAGCGCATGGGGTTCGATGGCTGAGCGGGACGCGTAGAGGTTATGTCACGGAGCAGGAGCAGAGCGCCCAGGTCCGGAAGATGAGGACCGCCGATGAGGTATAAAATCGCTCAATGTAGCTTCCAACAACTTCAGTTTCCCTCTTCTCTTCTCCCTAACAGCTTTGCTGAATTCTCCAAGTTAGCTTAAGCCCTCTGCTTGCATCCCAACGTTATGGCAATCTCGTCTCCTCTTGCTAGCATCACTTCCCGCCGCCGCCCTGCTCTTCCGACAGCACACACAATGAGCTATCGTCCGTCCACCTCCGGTTTCTCAGGTTCGACCGACACTCAGGTCGCCAGGCAGCCGACGGCTATGCATCCCGCGTTCTATGGTAAGCATTCCAGGGATCCATTCAACACGGAGATGGAAGGGAAGGGAGGTCTTGGATATGTCTTTAGGCCCGCTCAGAGATCCAACGTCCCCATTCCAAATGCCACCTACTTCCCGTATTGACATGAATCTTCCTCCTTTGCAATGCTTTGGAAAATTCGCATTCGCGAGTCATTTTCTCACCATGCTGAACACCGCTCTGCGACGCAATCTCCAGTGAGGTTGCCACCAATCACGTTGCCCCGACATGGAGGGCTGTTGGGAAGATCTGATTGGACAGACCATTTGCTGTATATTGCGACAGGGAGAATATCAAATCGTCGGAAGCCATGATTTATAGCCTTTGAATACAGCTCGCATCTCAAAGAGCTTCTGCGCACTTTCCTAACGCCCTTTGCTAATGTGATAGAATGCAATTTAGGCGGAGATCCGAGACGGGTATTGTTGCGTCGATTACTTGATCTGAAATAGGGCGCCAAGTATTCAAGTCTACATGGTACAATCAAGGTTGAATTTGTAGCTGAAAAAGTATCTCAATCTACCTTCTCTGATCAGAGATTCCTATTGTGAATTCCAAAGTACAAATCTTTCTATATATCTGGTCCTCTTCCTGCTTTTCCTCCAATATATCTTTCCGACAGAGTTCCGCAAGCCTAAATTGAGATGACAGGTGGTGTAAATTGTTCTCCGGGATATATTCTTGGTCTTCGACAGCTTGTCTTTGTCGGTGGAGTGGTATCATTCTCTCCCTCTCGAGTTCTTCGGGTGTTGGTAGCGGGGCGTCCAAGTCGAGATCTCCCGGGTCGAAGCGAGTAAACCTTGTAGGAGGAAGATACCATTCATCTATGATTCCTTTCATGATAATCTCTGCAGAAATGTTGCGATAGAGCTGGTCGGCCTTCTCATGCAATCCTGTTTTTTCGTAAAGCTTCGCGAGATCGAACTGTATCTCCAACCTCATTCGATTGTTTGCGCAGACGTTGCAATTGGCAAAGCTGGAAAGCCTCTCCTCTAATTCTCGTCGAACAAGTTCTAACTCAATGGATGGAAAAAAGATAAAGCAATCGAATTGTCGAGTGAGACCCTCTATTGAAAGTCGAAAGTGATCGGTTATGGCGATACAGGTATTCGTGAACCTCGAAGGATTGCGTTTGATAGTGGTGGGACCAAGAAGCAATTGGTGGAAACTGGTTTAAGTGAAGACGAGAGTGAGGAGGGTACTTAACAACCATATATATATAGACTTTGTTAACGCCATGGCATATGTCCAGTCATGTGGGTGAATACTTCTTGATGATGCGTCCAATCCACACCCCGGATCAAGGGTAAAGAAGCCTATCCGTGCTGTGCTACGCCTTGTTATTACGGATGAAGAGGCTGGATCAATCATGCGTTTCTAGCAGACCGTGCTTATTGTTGGTTCTCTTTCGTCGCCTTCTTGACGCCATTCACAAGCCATGCAGCCTCTTTTCATGCAAAACCTGTACAGCCTGCGAATGAAGGAGCTCGGGACTATCACTCAACGCTGCGCCCTTCTCACCTTAGGCATGCTCGTGGTAGATACACCATCAGATACACCATCACTTCTCAGGTGATATGAGGATGAACCGGGTTTACTCTGCCTTCCCGCGGATCCTGCCATCGTTTACTATCCATCGATTAGCATGACAGTCGTCCTATCCAGCATTGCATATGGGCCAGGTCTGGCTAGGGATGAAGCACGAGCTGTCGCCCAACATGGTCATACTTCAGCTCAGCCTCTCGGCAGAGAGGCAAGAGGCGATGGATCATTAGCCTCATAAACATCGACTCCACTAGAAAGCTTCTGTGCTTGGTTTTAGCTCCGAATTATCCATGTGAGATATGGGAATGGAAAGGATTGTCCTACATCGCCCCTTTGACGGCAATCAAATTTGTATGCGGATTAAATGTAAAGCCCAATTTGTGGAGGCGCTGTTATGCCGTCGCAGGACAATGGCTTGCCAGTTCTCAGGGTGAATCATACGAGCGCCGAGCCGTAAGTCCAAGGATCTCGGGTATAAAGAGTGCACGTCTTTCGTCCTAGAGGTCAATCAGCACAGGTCCCTCTCGACTCATCATCTGATCACAGCCCAATATATCCTGCATCGAAGATATGGCAGCTTGCGTTTCTAAGTACACCGAGAATCCGCTCTCCGTGTTCCAAAGAGATAGAATGGAACACTACGCAAACTCCACTACCTCTAAGAGTGCATTAGAGATGTAAGTCTTGTCACCACAGCGTAAGATGGCACTGACCTCCAGTAGCACCGACTCCATCTTTCTGGATCCGAACTAATACAATTCTTCAGGGTTTTTCAGTCTCGGCATGATCCCAATAGTGGACCCTCTTGAGGCGTACTGCGATTATAGAGGCCTCGCGGAATTCTCATTTGAACCCTGTATGGCAACAGCGTCTGCGCCCAACACCGAAAGTCGCCTCAGTCATTCTAAAATTCCACAACTACTATAACGGCACGTATCTAGCTAGCTAGTCTGGTCGAGGGGTTTAACTTCGTCTTCCAAAGTGATCGGGGTGGCAGTCTTCGCATTCTCCTCGGCGCGCTCCAGGGCGTCTTGGAGAGACCTATAGTCGGTGTCGCGATATATCACACGACTAAAGTCACTAATACTCAAAAATTCCCCATAATCGTCACATGCAACCTTCCACGTATGGTCCGTAGCCTTCTCCAGATATTCTGGAAGATACACCATTTGCTGTTGGGCAGGAATACCATCCACCATAGGCGTACGTGTGAAATTGATGTAGACGAAATCTCGATCAAATTTGACAATCAAAGTTTTGCATACAGGTTTGTCGAACTAGTTCCAAAATGACTTGACAGCTTCCTGAATCTTTTCAGACTGTTCAGCTTGCTGACCAGACATTCTCGAGTAAGGCTGTTAGGTAGGTTTTGGTGATCAAGTATGTAAGCTCCCGCTTAGATCTAATTTTGATGTAAGATATACTACTCCATACCACATTTATTTCATCTTACTCGGGATTTTTATTGGCGGGTTGGGCAAAGAAAGATGTTACGGAAGTTGAAGGAGGGGAAGTTGGAGGGGAAATCTGTCAGTCTTGAGTCGCAGGCCAAGGCATCTTAGGTGCCTCAGGCAGAGCTGCATAGAGCTTACCGATAACCTCCGTAGTACCGAAGAGCTACGTAGAATACACACAATACATCTCACTTGCTGCTGTCCAGGTTTTGTCCATCCACGCACACCAGTGCGACATCTACTTCGGCCGCGGTAGCGAGGGGAGGTTGATACGAGCGGCTGTGAGGTAGCCGTTAGTGGCCTTTATGCCGGAGCCTTGCAGAAATTAGGCTAGATAAAGTGCATGTTGGCTCAGCTGCAATGTCCGGGGCGCAGAAAAAAGCGGAAGCCACAGGTAGACGCCGCTGTATGTCTATGTTCGTGTTGGTCTCTACACTGGAGTTGAAGGACTGAAAACGGGACTGATTCAACCGTCTTAAGGGTACCAGAACTGGACTCCAAAACATGCGAAGCTGGTACTGTGTTTGCTCCGGTCAAGCCACACTAACGAAAGCACCGCCTCGCACTCCACCCCTTCAACTCGGCATCACGTTAATCTCCCCAATATAAGGACAAAGTAGGTGTCCAATCCGCTCCATAATGGATGTAGTCATAGAGCTCCAAGCAGTTACCATCCCAAAGTTCCAAATCTTGCTCCTCTCTATTGCAAGTTTCGACACCGCTCTTTATATTTCCGTCAATACGGGCGATCCGAATGTCTCTTAAGCAGGGATGCTCCCGCATGCTCTCAAAAATACTTCTCCGGCTGCCATCCGTTGTTTTTACTTCGTGGAGAGCTAACTCATGAAGAAGGTGGTGTTGACGGAGGAACTTGGATAATGCCATGCCTGAAAACATGAACCCGTCTACTGAAAGTACAACAAGCGCTGGGAAATGCAAGTCCCAAATACCATCAAGTATTGGATGCTCGTTGTATCTGCTCACAAACCGAAGAAACAACCTAACGAGACCAGGCATTTTCTCTAGCAAGGGGCGGATGACGGCAGACCAATCTAGACCACCAGGTACGACGATTCTATCCCGCAAACTGATATCGAGGAGAGTCAACTTGGAAAGATCAGGGCTCTGGGGCCATTCAGGAACGGAGTTCCACGAAAATTCCCAGCTAGGTGCCCACTCATTCCAAGTGACAAGTTCGTCAAGCTGGGTATTCGCAGCCGCCAACGCTTGGAAGACGATGGCAACATGGCGATCCGCGGACTCTAGCTCTTCGAATAGCATAGCGGGATTATCCCCCTCTAGTAATCTTGGGCTAACCAGAATATCAGGATGCTGCCTTAGCAACAAGTATGGGCAAGACCCATTGAATTCAGCATCAAAGTTTAGAGCCTTGGGAACCGAATGAGAGATGAAGACGCTGTAGAGCTTCGGGAAACAAGCGAGACACCTTCCAGTCCTCTCCAGATATGTTCCATCTTCAAAAAGTCTCTCCTGCTCTTTCAAGGCTGCCCTGTACGCTTCTAGGCTTGCAGTTATGCGTTCTTTCGTGGCTTTCTCAAACTTCGGCAGCCGTATGTATTCCTTATGCTTGGACGGTTCAGCTAGCCATGGCTGAAAAGAAGGGCGACAGAAGATTAGCCGCCGGACACAGTTTCGAAGAAGAGGGTGTTGCGACAGCAGCTCAAGGTTGGTGATGCTTCGCTGGGTAGCGAATATGTTGAAGTCGTAGAAAAGCGCGACAGAAGGAGTTTGGAGTCCGGAGAAGGTTCTGCAGGTTAATCTGATTGATTCGCAATTCCTTCTGAAGGGTATCATCGGGAGACAATATTCATTGTAATGTAGTGGTGCGTACCTACAGATATTAGATAGGTTGATCAACAGGGGTTGTTGTGGCTCGGGAGTGGAGCCAGACGTTCTAGAATCTATCCCAGGAATTTGGGCAGGTCCCCGACAGGACGTTGTAAAGGTAACGACTTACTCTCGGTCTTCCAGCTGAGGTACTAAGAAGCCACAGATGTTCTCAAGAATCTCAAGTGGAAGAGACTGGATCCGAGAAACTCTATGCTGCGTTGATTCCATATTGGCACGTGACCGGGTGATATGAATAGCTAAGGTGTCGAGCGCAGCTTGTGCTTCTCGATGCGCGTTGCGTGCAGATAGACCTTTGTATATGCGGGTGAACCAATGAGTCATTTGCCGCCAAGATCGGCATGTACACGGTCGGTTTTGAAAACCCTGTTTGCGGCGCTAAGTGGGACGATAGGATAGTGGCCACCCCTGGCGGCCCTGATGGGCACAGAGATATAGCTAAAGGCAGCTCCTATTTAGCACGATACCTCAAACATCCCCACAGATGAGCCTGCCACGGAGAGAGCATTTAAGCTAACGTTATACTCCCAATGCTGATTGCGACAATACTTTAAGTCGGCAGACATAGAGAAATCAATGATTTTCTCGAAGGTACAATATCCGCTCTCACACTCCTATCGAGTCTAGAAATGGAACAAGAATAAAATGGGGCTCCATCCTAATTATCGCCCTCCATCTCATCCCCGTCACTCTCTGAGTCGATTTCTGTAAAGCTCAAGTTAGAACATGGATCCGTTCAGTGGTATGCGTTGCTTCTATACATACCGATCGGTTCCGCTTCGGTCCCTTGAAGAATTCTGATGGGTGTAGACGCTATGACATGGAAATACATTGAAGTGTCTCCAAACTCGTCGACTCTGTACCTGAGGCGCTTGGTGGTGCGTGAGTTACGCAAGCCCACATCCTCTTTGCTATTTAAAAGGCTAATGGCGTGAATTACAAACTAGATCCCTTGCAATTTAATAAGAATGTAGACGCAGCTGTTAATAATTAGCTTGTTATTAGCATATACGCTTAAAACTCTAAAATTTTTAATTAAGTTGTTAAAGGGAAGAGCAATTCTGTGAGTTAGAAGTTTAGTCTAGACGTTAGCGGCAACTTCTTTGTAATTAAGCCCTTTTGTAGGCGCTATGCTAGAAAGATCCTTGTCTAACTTTAGAATTATAAGGTCCATCTCCTATATCCCGTCAGGTGGCTAAGGGATGTAGTACAGTATAGACAATATGACGTCTAGAACCCGCGTGCCTTTTTCCGCAATGACTAATACATGTTAAGGCTTATCTGTCTCACCCACAGCAACGTCAGGTAGGTTCTAAGGTAAGCCGTAATTAAATTAAAAATCTTAGATAGTGCTGCGTATATATAGGCTATCTAAAACGTCCTCACCACTTGTCCCTATTAAAGCGCGTTTAAAGCACAGGCCTAAGCACTTACCATAAATTTTTTAGATTATAGAAGACTGTATATAGTCCTGCCTTCCTATTAAACCTTGTTTAAAACAGCTCTGGGGACGCTCCGCCCCTAGATGTAGCAATCCACTATAGAAATCAGCCAAGTGCGAACTCAATAATCAGGACAACAGACCTTAAGGGTTATTCCTGTACGCTTAGTCTATTTGTTAAACTAGGCGACGCTCTATTTAATCACTCTATTAAAATAGCAGACTACCTTCTCTTTAATTTTGTCTGCTAAGTTAGATAGTAATAAATTGTTGTTAATCTTAAGCTTCTTCTGCTAGCCTAAACTAAGTATTAGCTTGTATTTTGTTAGGAAAGTTATCTACATCTAAATTTCTAAGGTTGTTGTAGACTAGTTGCTAAAAGTAGTTTTTAGCTACTCTAAGGTACTGTCAGATATGCGCACCTACTGTCAAGACAGGAGGAACGTTTGACGAAAGCTGCTACATAGTACGAGCAATAAGCTCGAACAGTATGTTGCTGCAAATTGCTGCATTTTGCAGCATTTTGCAGCATGTTGCAGCAAATTGCAGCATGTTGCAAGCTGGTCGCGCATAGGGCTAGTGCGCGAGGGACTTAGATCGGCAGAACAAAAAGCTAAGCAACACAAGTAGAGCAGAAAAAGGATTAATAAATTAACATAATTAATACAATTAATAAATTATCTTATATATTATATCTAAACCTATTATTTATCTTAGGAAGCCTAGAAATAGTGCTTTAATCTAATAATTAAGAGTCTCAGTGCCTCTATTAATACAAAATGGCCACCCAGCCTCCTCAAGACGCGACAGTCGTCCTTCGAGACCACACCGACTACAGAGCCTGGATGATGCAGCTGCAATTAAGATGTGTAGCGCACAGCATCTGGCCGCAAGTGGATCCTAAGTTGACTATCCAAATAATCTCTAAACTAAGAGCTCTAGAGATGCTACTAATAGCTAAGTTTTCACTAGCCTCTAATGTTAAAACGCCTACGCACATAAACAAGCTATTAATAAGCAGTGTTAGAGCCTTTAAAGAAGCTATTAAATACTATAAGATTAAGGCTAACAAGTACAAGAGTAACAGACATAATTATAAAAGAGAGTAATTAAGCTTTTAACAGATTATTGTCTTTATCTAGTTAACAGTTAGCCTGCATCTGCAGCGTACATGCTGTTCCCTAGATTAACTACTTAGAAAGTAGATTACAAACTTTAAAGCTATAGTAGGCGTTAACAACTAATTTAAATAAGAACATGCGCACAACTAATATAATGCATCTCTAAAGCTGCTAAGAAACGCAAGCATATAGAACCTATAGCTAGCAGAGTATAATTACGCTGCTACAGAAGCAGAGACATAAAATGTTCTAGAAATAACACAGTTTAATGCTGTAGCAAAGGACTTTCTAACTACTATAAATAAAGTTGCCCCTTATTAGTCTACAACTTTTTAGAAAAGTAGACAGTTTACACTAAACATAAATTAAAAAAAAATAATAAAGCACTTTTAAAAACATATAATATTAAATTATCTAATACATATAAGAAAGCATAAAGCTGCTTTTATAATAAATAACTTATTATATTTTACTAAAAGTAGGAAGACTACCTAAGGCATAAATAAAGACACCTATAGTGCAGAAGTTATAACATTAAAAAAATAGAGTAAACCTTAACATTAATGTTATTAAAAAAATAATAGGAAGTTATCTTTAAGCTAGAAACTTACTAAAACAAAAAGCACTAAATATCCTACATATAGACACATCTATGCGCTAAAGGACTGCTTTTATGTCTATCTAGACAGAGCACTAGACTAGTAGATGCTAAATAAAAGAGTTAAAAAGCTTATAGCATTAAAGTGTAAGCATAACTTAGAATTTTAAGGCCTACTAAGAGAGCAGCGTAGACATAATTTAAAAATACTAACTCTAAAGAGTTTACATATACTTATACTAGAGATATAAAAAGACTAACTTAAAAGCTAGAAAGTATTAAGAGTTAAGGCAGCTGCATTGCTAGCTATAGTTAATTTAAACTAGAACAGATATTTACTAAGAAAATTATTTATCCTTAACTTAGGCTTAATATGCTATATTATAAATAATTCTAATTAAATCTATAACTATTATTTACTAACACTAGAAGACTTTATTTAGTTTAGAAACTCTTACATATAAATTTAAAGCTATAGATTAATTACACTAAGCTTAAAAAGTAAGCATAGAACACATAGTTAAGCATATAGTCTTGTACTACATAACACTGCACTATGCCTAGACCTGCTGTGCAACCTAGTCTTGTTCTACCTACTATAATAGAAAGGAATCTAGTAGGACACATAAGCAAAGCTAACTGCTTTAAAGGCCTTAGACAGGATAATAATTAAAGATTTTATAAAAATCTATAGCTAATAGGTGTTAAAGTACTATCTACTATAAAAAAGCTTATATTATACACACATAATTAACATAAGAACTAAACATAGTCTATAAAAGGCATTAGCAGAGCTATAGCATAAGCGTCTAAGACACTTTAGACTAGCTATACTTTAACACCTTATATAGTAAGCTAAAGGGGTGTAAATTAAAGAAATTATAATAGTCTAATGTAACTTATGTAGCAGAGCTAAGATATAATAATAAATTAGCTGCGCACTATAAATTAGTAATAGTAGACTTAGTAAAAGACTGTTAATTAATTTCTATGTATACAAAGCATAAAGCATTATAAAAAAGCAGAGTTAAATGCTAATTACTAATAAGTATTCTAGCCTTTAGTAGAATCTCTACTTTAAAAATAATAAGCTTACTAAATTAATTATTAAAGCTTTTATAATTTTTATTTTCTTTTTAAAGAACTATTATAATATTACTATAAAAGTTATTAAAGCTAACAACAAGATTATAATAGTAAAACTAGAGGTAAAACGCTAGCTAGCATTACATAGAATAACTGTTAAGCCTTTAGCACTAGATACATAAGCCTAGAATAGAGAAGCTAAACGCTTAAAAAGTGTAAATAAGAAAAAGTTATAGGCTATGCAACTAGATGCTAACCTACTATAAAATGTATAGCTATACATTACTAGAGCAGGCGTATACCTATACAATTAGACGCTAAACTATGCTAACAACTAGAAGACACTATATAAGATCTTCTTTACATAAGTAGCTCTAAATAATAGAGTTATTATATTAATTTAAAAGCTAAGCTTTACACATTTAAAAGCTTATAGCTGCAAAGCATTTATAATAACTAATAACACACATTAGAATAAATCTAAGCTATAGAGGCTAGACCTAAAGGCGTAGATTAGATATCTAGTTAAGTACTAATTATTAAACATCTACTGTGTATAAATACTACTGCTAGTAAAAGTAATCTATACACATAATATTATTTTTAATAAACACTTAATTTTTAGCAGTAAGCCTAAAGACTTAATAAATAACTTTATGCATAACATAGTAAAGAAAATTATTACATACATTAAAATAATTAAGCTTCTAACACTTAGTTATTAGCTAAAGATAAAGTTATTTTATAAAGACAACACTATAAATAATACATTAAATTTTAATAAAGTAGACCTACTAGGCTACTATTAAGAAAGGAAGATTAGAGATAACTATCTATCTTTTTTAAATACTCTGCTACCTGCAGCATTACTTATGCAGTTAATAGCTAGAGCAGCACTAAAGCTAAGCTAAATAGGGTTGCTAAAGACTATACTATAAGCTACAGCTTTTATAGCTAGCATAAGATCTAAAAGTGTAGAAAAGCATAGCAGCAAAACGCTAGATAAAGTAGCATTAATAAAAATGCTATTTAAAAGAAAAACACCTTATAAAAGCTAGCTACTACCTTTACTATTAACTTAAAAGTAACTAGAGGAGCACTTTTTACATAAGATGTTTAAAGTAGCAGAAAGAACGCACTTAGACAGTTATTAGACAATAAAATTCTAAACAGAGGTCTAGACAAAGCTAATTAAGGCAGCTAGACAGCAAATCCTAGATTATATGTAGGTGTGACGGCGCGTACCGCGTCACATGCTCTGCGGCATCAGCTCCCTCGCTTGCGCAACGAGTAGCACGCTAGTGCTACGAGTAGCGCCTTGGCAGGGGGCACACATGTATATTAAACTCGCAGAGCAGCTCCTCTGCTCCTTAGTTTAATCTAGTTGAGTTACACCACCTCTTGCTTGTAGCTTGAGCATGCCGACCGTGACAGTAGGTGTACACTTATAAGCTTAACAAGCACTATAAATTGTAAAGATGTAAGGCGCAACTAGTAGTCTACAGCAATTAATAAAGAAACATTACTACACAAGATACCTATACTGCTACCCTAGTAGAACGCTTATTTTAAATGCTAATAGTAATATCTGCACGCTTTAACCTAGAGCTTAAACAATATAACATAACTAACATGTTTATACATGCAGCAATTAACTGCAATATCTACATGCAGATGCTAAGAGGCTATTAGAAACTAGGTATAATACTAAAGCTTTAAAAAGCACTATACAGCCTATAAATTTCTTCTTTACTCTAGCAACACTATTTTATAACAACCTTTAAAGGCCTTAGGTTCTTAGCTGTCCTATATAAACCCTACTGCATAACTAAAGCTAGAATATTTATCTTCTTTTATATAGACAACCTTATTATTGCGTACAAGAAAGGCTCTAAAGTAGATGCATAGCGTGTAGTAGACTAGTTACAAGAGAAGTATACCCTAATAAAAGGCAAGGACCTATAATAGTTCCTAAGAGTTAAGATTATTAGAGATTAACAGTAATAAATAATTTAGCTATTATAGGCATTATATATTAATAAGATAGCTAGGCTAGCTAACAGAAAGAACCTACAGCACGCTACACCTATAAGTAGGATTAAACTTATGCTATAATCTAGTTTTGCAACCCTATTAGAAGTAAATTAATATTAGTAGAAGATTAGATCTCTGCTCTTTACAGCAGTCACTACAAGACTAGACATCGCCTTTGCCACATTACGCCTTGCATAGTTTCTCACAAATCCCGCATCTAACTATTAGGATGCAGCTGATCAAGTCATCCTGTACCTACATGCGACACAGACGTACGCACTCTAATTAGGAGGAGAAGACTACTTTGTAGTAGCAAGTAATGCGTTATTTATAGACAATACACTAAATAGAAAGAGCTTTTAGGGCTATGTTATTTAACTATTTAGCAGATAGATTACATAGTAAGTAAATAAATAAAATATAGTTACAACATTAATAATAAAAGCAGAATTACTTGCACTGTTCTAAGTTGCTAAGGAAGCTATGTTTACAAGAATGCTCCTTAATAAACTGCAGGTTAAGCTGCCTAATTTAACTATTATAATCTAGTGTAACAACAAGCAGACAATTTAACTAGTAAATAAAGAGATATCTTAACTTTAAACTAAGCTCTAACATGTCAACATCTATAACTACTGGCTCCAACAGGAAGTCTCTTAACAAACAATTAAGGTTGTCCATGTCCCCTCTAGCAAGATGCTTGTGGACAGACTTACTAAAGCGCTTTTAGCTAGCAAATGGCTAAGCTTTCTTTAGCAAATTTAGCTAGTTAACATTAGGGAGAGGATAGTTAGTTAGGAAGCAGATATGGAAGAGATTGAAGCAAGAATGGAAGCCCTAGAAGCATACTAAGGTTGCGCAATTGGGAACCAGCTTGAAGCATGTCTAAGCTAAGAGGGTGTGTCAG